AACCTCGTAGAGTATTGGACTAACTAAAAGCTTCATGAAATAATTATCATAGGAAGCATTTTACAAACGTTGTACTTACCAGGCCCAGAGCTGCTTTATGAACAGGAGAAACTGAAAGATCTGCTGCTCTGATTTCCCAAACCTACACCACAAAAAAAAGCAAACTCACGTTACACTCAAATAAAACTGCACCCAGTAACCTTAGCAAAGGATACACTTTAAGCATTACATGTATATGTATGTTCTATTGCATTTTAAGGGTAAACAAAGCCGGTTTCAAAATCAAGAACAATTGAGGTATTTTTAAACTTTGGATAATCAAGCCTCTAGCAACATCAAAGTAATTTCTTTTTTCTCTTTTAGTAGCTACGACTTGCAATCATAGCAAGTTGTTGATGTTTGATAAAGGGTCAGTATTCACATGGGCTACTTACCTGAGGGGAACAGGTTAGGGTTGAGGTCAGGGGGGTATCCTACTTTCCCCCTCCACCCTGATCTAAACACAAGGTACAGTTTGAAATAAATCAGTACCCATCAGTACCCACCAGAATGTAACTACATCTGTAAAGTCACAAACAAGAACAAATCTCATGCTCAAAATTCCTGTCTAGAAAAATAGATTTGTCACCTGAACTGGGTCAAACCAATGATCGGGAGCCAGATTATCATCATAGCGATAATAGGCCTTTGGATGTGGGATCACTTGATCCTTAAAAAACTGGTAATGTTTGTCAAGTAGCTCATCTGTAAAACCTGTTCCAATCTGAAAAGAAATATATTGAAAATAAAATGACCCTGGTGACATTAGAGCAACTTTGTTTGAACAGAGAGATTGTTGATTAAATAATTTCATAGATTGGGTATGAGTAGACCTGGGAAGAACTCTATTCTGTGACAATGACATAATTTGAAATATTCTGTAAGGTTTTTTTCTTACTTTACAGATGGTTTGGAATTCTTCATTCTCAGGATCATAGCAGGCCAGCAGGTATCCACCATATGAGCCAGTTCTTTTGCCTTTACCCAGATAACCTCCAATGACAACTACATCTAAAGTATCTCCCACACCAGTTAGGTAGTCTTTCTTCAACTGAAAGTTGAGGGGATGAACTGATTTACAAAAATTACAATGAACTAATTTTCTCTTTATAACAATGGTTTTGCTTTAATTATAACAGAGTAGGTTTGAAATAAGCAGCTAAAATAACATGGTTTATTCCTGTTACATAGACAGTGACATGTGTTTTTTAAAATAAATATTGAAATTATACAGTAAAACAAATTTCATAGCAACAAAACAAGGTTGTAGGAATCATAGCAATGTAGTAAAAACAAAACTACAATAGTGATTACTGAAATGAAAGAGAAACAGTTTATCTTCACAGGGATTAATCATCACTACAATGTAAATAAATCAGCTGTGGATTAAAATGAAACACCTACAGCACTGAAAATCTATAACATTCTGTTTCTTAGTATTCTTTTCAGAATTTGTAAAAAAGTAAGACTTACCTTCAACCAATTATGTGAGCGTTTTGCAATTTCATATGTGGCATCCATGTCAAGGGTTTTAACCATCAGACCCTCACAATTACCTGAAAAATTGTAGAACAGAGGCAAAATCAATTCACAAGGGTATTCACACATTTTTGGGAAGAATAGACAACTAAAGAGAGAGAGTGAGCATTACACCTCTAAAAGGTACGATCCTAGATGTCTGAAAATTAAAGAGAAAACCTGAAAATTGTATTTAACAGAATCATCAACTATTAATTACCTTTAATTGACTCATCCAAGAATTCTGCAATATCATCTGTGTTTATTGAATCAGAACTCTGAGCAAACATGAACTCCTGTAATAGTAAAAAAAAATGCAATAATTGTTTTTACAATGTTTTTACTTGAAATTGAAACAACCATGCATATAAAAAAATTTCCCCTACCCCTTCAACTTCTGTGAGTGATGATCGTAAAGCTTCTCGTCGAGTTCGAAATGTTTCCTTGATGTATGACTGAAATAGACCAAAGGTTACAATAATTTCAAATATATTCAAAAGTGGACTTGGAGGTGTTGGAAGAGGGATGGTGGTTGATAGTAAGTAAAGATAGGAATAATTTTGGGAGCAGTGCTCTTTCCAATCAATACTGTTAGCCCTTTAACTCCCATGATCTGATTGTTAATTCTCCCCTCTAGCTGCTACACATTTCCTAGTGAATTAGTTATGAGAACTTGGTGCTAGATAGCAGCTTCTACTTGATAAGTTTGAATATTCTCATTACCTGTTTGCTGAAGAATGTATGGATATTGTAGGGAGAAGTTTTATGTTAATCACTTCTGGGAGTTAAATGGTTAGCCACATGTCAGCAAGAGAAGCTCTCGGCTTGTCCTTTCTAATACAGGAAGCCATATTTGGTGGGGAGAGAAGCTCCCATTTACTCTTTAACTTACATCCTTCAAATCTCTGCAATACACTTTCACATCCCTATTCCTCCTCTCTCAATTTTGAGAGAGAACAAATTTAATTCTTGAAATGTATAAAAAGTGAAATCATATTAACTAACATTCATCCACTGGAAAATAAACAAAATGGCTATTAACTTTTTGGTCTCCCAAATGAAAAATATACTAATACATTGTCAAAGACATACCCTTCCATTCAGGTACAGCAAATCAAATGCATAGACACAAACTTGAACTTTTATTTCTGAGGCATCAGCATCCTTGGGAATACAAACTGAACTAAGTCAACCAAGTGAAGGGAATAAAAAAACTGAAACCTATCTTTATTTGCATCATGAAACTTTAGTTTACTGGTTAAAGCAGAAGAATGATGCTAGTTTTGTTACCACATAAAGTGAAATGTATAACATATGAAGTTGACAATGGTGAAATTACAGGAAGACCAAGTGAACTACAGGATTAAACTTGAAAAGTTATGAAATGCTCTTTTATTTTTGGTTGGCATATACTCTTTCTCTCATCCTGCAAGGGCTGACTATGGTATGTTTACTGCAAGATCAATCTATAAATCACCTTTCTTTTACGTGTACTAAGAATTTGAAAAGGAAGAATCTGTTTCTTTTCCCTGTCCCACGCAACAGCTTCAGCATCAATTATGCAGGACTTAACCTCATCACCTAAAACCTATGAAGAAAAGGAAAGCACTTTACATTGAACAGTATGTCATAGCTGACCATGTGAGTTTGCTCAAGTTTGGGGAAGATGAGATGTTACTTTTTTATGAATAAGAGCTGTACACATTTATATGAAAATAATAACTTGGCATAGCTTACCATCAAGCTAGAGGAAAAATAAATGAATAGTTAAAAATACTACATATGACTAATAGTAGTCAATTGTGATAAATTCAACTGTTGTGTCTGTTATGAAGTATACTAAGTGGGCACTACTAGTGAGTCTGGGTTGGGTTGTAAAAGTGTTCCAAATGGTTGAACAAACTGTAAACTTTAAAGATTTTCTGTCCTAAAAACATAACTAAAAAGTTGGAAAGTGTATATGACCTTGCTTAAAAGGCTACCCGAGTGAACCAAAATTAAACATGCTGAATCTGGATGAGATTCTGCCCAACTGAATATACCTAAAGGATAAGAACTACTAACTTTTGGCATTCTTTCAATAATGTCAGGATACTTGGATGTGTTGTTCTCCTGATTTCGGCTGTAAATGTGAATTTCTCCACTTTCTAGTACATGGATCTAGAAACAAAGAAAAAGAAATCATTCTATAACTCTAAACATTCTTAAGTAACAGCAGGTAGTCAGGGTGAATGGGCAAAAGATGGATTTTCCTCACTGTATGAGCCCTTGTGAGGCAGCTGTTTTATCATCCAACAAGTTACCCTAGACAATTTATGAGTGCCAGTGAGTCGATAGGAAGACTACAGCATCTTCAGACCTTAACAATGGTGACACAGTACACACAACAACAATAAATATTACGAATAATTCCTAACCTGGGCTCGCTCTCCATCATACTTATATTCACATGTGAAGGCTGCATCCTCAAACCTTTTGAATACTTCTTCCACTCCTTTGGAAGGATGAGCCAGCATTGGCTTCAGTGGAATACCTGAGTAGAAATCCAAGCTGTACATTTCCAAACAGTACTTGCCCCTAAATAATGGCTATGCAACACTCACACTTACATGTAGGGGTTTAACCACTAAAACAATGCTAAAAACCTACTATTCCCAAGAAGATATAATCTATTTCTAGTTGTATTGTCAAGGACAGAGAATCTCTTACATGCAACTGGCCTGACAGGCAAGAACAGCCACTTCATATTGATCAATACATGTATATTTACCTGGTGTTAGATGACAGTGTTCAGGCAGTGTTTCTAGGCCATGTTCCAAAAGAGATGGAATCAGCTTGTCATAACTGGGCATTTCACTACCAAATAAAACCAAATAATCAAACATGTGAAGAGAGAAATTTGGTTTGATTGCATCATTAAGGCATTTGGTATGGACTTAGCCCTAACTCAAAAATTGTCAGGGACCTAAAATATTAAAATGTTGGTCACAAGGAAAAAAGAGAAATTTCTTTTCAGCAAAATGACACAACATTTATTCAAATGTTTATCGTATTTTAAATTAAGACCAAAAACACTGAGTATTAAAAATGCTACAGCTTGCTTTGTGACTGCCAAACACAGGTTGCCAAACTCCTCACAGCTTTTGCTACAAATTTAGTTGTTCAATTTTCTTTCCACCCCTAATGGCAAGCAAATCAAAATCTTGACAAAGCAATTGTATGAATAACTTTGAGAACCAAAAGGTTTCTCAAGGGCTGACAGGTGAGAATCGTATTTCTTACCAGTAACAGGTCTTGACAATTAAAGCAGCCTCATCTTGTTTCTTTTTCAATGCATCACCAGAAAAATTCTTAGCATTGTCAAGAATGGGAGGAGGGAACTCTGAACAAAGAAGAAAAGGAACAAATTAAGAAATCATTTTCACAGAAGGTTTGTGATACAATTAGTTTTGCTACTCATTTCATGCAGAATGTTCTATAGATGTAATAATACTGTACCTTTATTAGGAGGGGTGAGAAAGACAGCATGTCCAAGGGCTGTTAACACTGATTGTTCTGCAAGACCAATTCTTAACTTGCCTCCTAAAGATCTGAACACAAGAAATATTGTCAAGTTCGCTGCATGACACATTCAAGCTTACTGCAATAAAAGTCAATCCTACAGTTACCAAACTAGCAACTTCATTAAAAAGGAAAAATTTTATCATCTAAAACCAAATAGTCTCAATTCTACCCACTCAAAGCCCCCATTTCACATCCTTTCACTGAAATTAATCCTTTCACTCTAAAGATATCAGAATCAATTCTCCCCTCTATCGCCCACACATCTAATAACCAAACATCTTTCATTTAGGCTCTTTCAGAACTTAAATGAAAAAGAATTTGGTGTTAAATCAAACTGCATCCCCCACATGATACTTCTTCTCATCACTTTTCTGCAAGATAATGTTTTAATATTGCCCAGAAAAATTACCTCTTTATTATAAGTCAATAATGAAAGAAGAGTTCCAATAATGGTGTTAACAATTAAATTTTACCGTAACAGCTTACCTAATCAAATATCTTGCTTCTGCATCACGACAAGCTACAAACATGCCTTTGATTTTCTCTGACTTTCTTGTCATGGACTGTAACAAAATTTTGACAAAGATTATTTAACATCACTGTACCCAGAGAACTTAAATTTTCACAATTCTAAACAAGTTGGCCATGAATCTCTGTCATTAATGACTTCTACCCTTGAAGTGCAAATATCAGGTAAAAAGAATTTGCAACACCCAGAAAAGCCAAACTATCTGTTTAGTATGTGCTGGGTGGGTTTATACTCACACTGTGTCCAGTCATCATTGCAATTTCTTTCAGTTTGGTAAAGACACTTGTAGCAGTTAGTTTGGGTGGGGCAAACATGGTGCGCTGTGTACTTCGGCAACTCTGACAGGTAAAATAAAAACACCATTCATCTAGCAGATTGAAAACTCTGCTTAAAGTTTTGCTGAGGGTTTGTAAGTTTTGTGCCCTATATATATGATCAAGTTTTTGTTGGTACAACAGTTGACATAAATGTATTAAATAATGGCAATAGTCCAGTATCAGTCTGTACTGGCCAACAGTAATCAGGTAATAAGACTTAACTAGTAGTCATCCCAAGTCTCTCTTAAGATTTTGCTTGACTATTGTATATAACTTTTTAGATGCTAATATGGCTATCTTGCTAGTGTTGTAAAGTAAGCTATGACCTACTTCTACACCGTATAAGAAAAAAAATAATTAGAAATAATAAGCTTCAAATTTACTTAATGTTCAGATTAAAATTAGAATTAGCTGAAAAAATACCTCAGCTACTATTCCCAAATCTCCCTTTTCCCCAACATCACACTTTATCTGTTGAAGGCTTCGTCCTAGATAAGAAATTATACCATATAAATTGAAATATCAAAAAAACTGAAAGAAAAGGTAAACTGTCTGATTGCAAAGTTTGCTAACTTTTTCTGTCACATCAAATAGATCATAAAACTCTCGGTGCACCTGTTGACTCTGCAACTGCTTTCATCAGAATGTTCTCTCCAATTCCAAGTTCAATTCCTTCATATGCTGGAGCCAGCTATGAATTATGGACAAAAAGTGATCAAGGAACAATTCAAACATAATTGTTCAGACATGTACAGTTGGTGCATAACACTTTAATCCCTAACAGTGACTCACATCTTATTTCTTCTTACAATATCACACCTGAATCACACATTAGGCAATGAAAATAAACTAAGGAAATCATTGAAAACTCAAGAAGCACTGGATTATTTAAAAACATTTGTCTCATCAATAGCAGAGAGAATGTAAAGGGAACACTTAGAAGAATATGTATCTTGATATTAGGGTGTAAAGGGTTCACCATTGAAGACATCTCTGTTAATAATAGAACTTCTCCACACCTGTAACTTTTCATCCCTTCACTCCCTCAAATAATCATTTTTCTGCACTGTCTACCAGACATTTCTTTTAATTTTAGCTGTCAGAATTTGATGTGAAATCTAGCAGTATAATGTACACTCAGTTTCAACAGCCTTGCCTATGGAGTGTAGTGATAATTATGTACTTAACTTACAGTTGTTTACTTCTTATAAAATGTCGATTCACATAACATTTGATGAAGAATTATCCATATCTTCTACCTTATTAAGACAGAGATAAACACATGGAAGCAAATCATCAGGAGAAAGAACAATCACTGAACAGAAGAAATTGCTGAGGATGGAGGTGATTTTCAACCTGTTTTGACATAAAATAAGTTTAAAAAAAATTGAAATAAATTTATTACTGTAATGATAACAAATAATTAAAGCTACCAAGGGTTCATTCTTAGTTACAGTCTTCTTTCATCTATGTGTACATCTACACAAAGGTCAAAAAATGTCACTCTGTACTTACCTTGCTGAAGTGTCTTCTATGGCCTGAAATGATTTGGCTACAGCCAAGTAAGGTACTCTAAAAGAGATGAGTTAGACAGTTATAAATGGGCACTGATAATACAAATGTACATTTAATAATTTACAGAGTGGCTGGACTACATGAGGTATTTATTCCCTGACACTCATGCTTCATGTGTAAACATTACTAATAACAATAATCTAAAGATGTTATAGGAAAAATTTGGGGGGAAAAAAGCTTATTAACTAAAGGTGACTGAAAAATTTTGGGTGAACAAATGTATAGATAATTGTTAGAAGGATACATGGATGAATGAAGGGAGCTTTTTAAGATTCAGTTTAATAACAGCACATATAGCACATTGCTCAAGTTAAAATTTGTAGAGACTGCATATAAATTATAGAAAAAAAGATACCTGCCCTTTAGGACTGGACTGAAATGATTGGGATTGTGTAGGGCTGTGCTCAATTGTTAGGAGAGTAAGGTAAGAAACACTACTCATGAAGTATGGAAATCTAATTATTACAGATGATGAAATGGGATGTGTTGTCAGGCCCTGAATCAAGAGTACAAAATTGTACTTTGCTGATGCATCTACCTTTATACCAACAATAATTATAATTCCATTTATTGCGAGTTTGATGGAAACTAAAATTATAGACAATTACTTACCTTTCTCCATGTTTCCAACAAGCATTTTTAATGGGGTGATAGTCACTTTTCTCTGGAGAATATTCTGTGGCCTTCACAGGTTCACTGAGCCCAGTTTTATTTGAAGAGCTATAAAATGTGGGGTACTTTAGTTAAAGACAACATTATTTTGACCAGATATAAATGTTCTCTAAGTCTAAAAACCAACCCCTCACATTGCCTATGAGTATAGGGAAATTAGGGAAGGGATTAGATATTTCTCAGCATCTTCACCAAAACTTTCATGTAACCCTGTAACCTTCAAGATCTGATTGTTCTGAAGTCTCCCCTCTGGCTGCTACACATTTCCTTGAAAATTAGTAACAAGAATGCAGTGTTAGATCAAGAAAAAAATGTCTGCCTGATAAGTTTGAGTATTCTCAATACCTGTTTGCTGAGTTATGTATGGATATCACAAGGAGACATCACTAGTCAATAACTTCTGGGCATTAAAGGGTTTGTACTTCACTCTTTCTCACCTTGTTTTCTTTGTTGGTGGATTGTCTCTGTCACTTTTACTCTTCTCTGGAAGTTTTTCATTGTTACTTTCTTCCTTTTTGGACCGTTTAGGAGCTTTAAGAGAAAAATCAGAAATTTAGTAATCCAGTGAGCTTAAAATCAAAGGTGGGGAGAGGCATCATCATGTGTGAAGTTAAGTGTCTTGTATCAGGTATTGACAAGGACCCCTAACCTAAAGATCATATTATTTCCCAAAAAGTACTTTTCTTTATTAAATTTCTGTATCCCCAGACATGATATGCTTGGTCATTTAAGTAGGCCATACCCTTCCACAAGGCCTGCCAATGTATATTAATGAACCCTTTTTACGCTACTAATGATCCTTCTGTGAAAATCTCCATGTTTTTTTTGTTCAATTAGATGTTAACAGCTGCTAGTGACTACCCAACAAGTTTGAAACAACACGTTTTTCTCTTGAGGAGTAACAGCCTTATGTACCTCTTCTGTGTGATTGAGGATGGTTTTCCAAACCTGTCAGACTTACAGCAGAGAAACAGTAAATCAAAGATCTTAGTTTCCATCCTTGTCTTAACAGTCTTCACTGTATTGTTTGTAGCTTGCATGCTTTATGTCTGGGCTACTACTTGAAAAGAAAAACCTACATATACTGACACATGAACATTCAGTGTACTTACAGAAGAAGTCAATGAATGCTCCTTTAACTTTTCTTTCACCCCTGGAGTCTTGACTACTGGATATTTCTTTTTCTTTATCTTTCTTTATCACTGTCTCAGAATCTCCCTCTCCATTTTCCTTACTAGACTTAATCTGTTCTTTTGTTTCAGCATGTTTTGAGCCTATCAGCCTCATATCACCTTTTGCTCCATCACTCTTTAAATTTTTTTTTGATTTTGTTTTTTTCTTTTTTTCGCCTTCTTCGGTATCTTCTTTCATCTCAGTTAATTCTTCGCCACTTTCATTTTCTTTTTCTTTCATTCTGCCCTTAGATTCTGATCCCCTTGCTGTTTGATCTTTCTCACACTTAACAATAGTTGCTTCCTTGACTCTAGAGTTTAATCCTCTCTCTGCTTTTTCCATTTTCATTTCATTTGATGTAGGATTGCCTGCCTTGTCAAGATTTTCTCTTTGATTTTCCTGAGAGTCCTGTTCTGACTTTGCTCGTTTCACCACTTTGGCCTAAAAAGAATAAAGTTGTTAGAACACAATAATTTGTTCTTTTCCATTTTAGAAGGAACTGCAGGAAATCTTGCTCATGTTTTATTATGCTTTACAAAAAAATTTAAGAAAATCAGCTTATGCATACAGTTCATTGTACCTGATTTTCCCCAGAAGATTCTTCCTCACTTGAGGCCTTCCTTTTGGCAGGTTTTCTTGGTGCTGAGAAAAGACCTGAATAATGTTAGTGTTATATACGTGTAACAATTATCAAAGATGTACTTCTTATAAACCCAGTTGTTGCAGGCAGCTAACTCTTGTTTTTGGTGACTTGTAAAAACATACCAGGGGAATTCAGGACAGTATCAAAATAAGTATTAAACTGTCATTTGCACACCTGTCTTTCGTTTAGGGATACGCATCCTCTCATTTTGTGGAGACATCACTTCTATGAATTTGCTTTCTTTCTTATTGTCACCAACTTCACAATGCTCTGTTTTAGTATTTTCTTCTTGCAATACAGTGTTTTGTTTCAGGATATCAACATGTTCACTGTGCTTGGCTGGTGAAAAGTCTTCTTTATTGTTTTCTTCGTCGCTAGCATCATCAAGTATGCGGCGTGATTTTTGTTTGCAAGTCTTTTTGACTGGAGGTGAATCTAAAGCTGTAGTTTGAGGTTTGAACTTCAGTGGAGTCCTCTCCTCTTTCACTTCAATGTCATCATTACTGAAAATTAGGTAACAGGTTAACTGCATTGTTACAATAAAACCCAATCATATCTGTAATAAATATATAAATACTCTTAGTGATGTGCACTCATGCAAGCTACAATGCATAAAATGTGATCATACAGAGAATTGCAAAATAAAGGAGGGTCTATGGAAAAGTTTTATTGGTGCATGGCTCCACTCCATACCAAAAACATATGAATCTCATTATGAAAGATGGTAGACTACAAAAGTAAACTCAGCTCAATCAGGAAGAAGGGATGCTGGCGGCAGTCCTCTAAGCGCCCCCACTAATCTAGCTCGTGGTATTAACCTCTGCTTAGTCTCACCCCAATCATTACCCTATGCCATGTTGACATACATCGTTCCAATGAAGTCTTGAAGAATAAACAACAACGTTAACGACATAGATCTTAAACATTTCAATACATCAAGCATACCTGGCTACTCCTTCTTCGCTCCTATCTTTAACCTTTGGTTTCGCACACGGAGAGAAAAATGCACTGGAGGCGGAGAGACAATAATTTTGTAAGCGTCTAATTGGTTCAAGGTAGACGATCGCTACAATAACATTTACAATTTCATTGATCTTTACTCAAACCACGCTCCTACGAATCAAGGAGTATAAACTCACGTTATTCCTCTTTGAGTCATTCCTGTGGTTTAGTGATCGTAGTACAGACTATTATTTTACAACACAAATTCAGGTAACATGTTCACCAACATAGAGTTCCCGCCACTTCTTGTAAAAATAAAGAGGAAAAAAATAAAGCCCTGGGTACGATGTTTGGTGTTGCATAGAGGTCAGGGGGGAGGGGATGGTTACTTTAAGCGGAAATTACTCTAAATTAGCCTCAATATTCACCTTTACGGTATTTGACTGTCAGAAATTATCAATAACTTTAATTTAGATGCATCGGTTAAATATAGAATGGATATTTCTTTATTTATTAAAATTTCAAATAATACTCAGCGCCATTCAATTTAAAATACGATACAAATTAATACCGTTTATCCACCTCCTCAAAAATAAGAAATATGCAAAACCCTGAAGTTGTTCAGTTGAGTGATCTTGGTAAAAGGCCAACTCTTCTTTGATGTTTAATTCGTTAGTAATCTAGAAATAAAAAAATTCGATCTAAGGATGATTTTCTGACTTCAGATTTTCACCGGCAAAGTTAAGACTAAATAAGTCACAGTCAGAGGATAAAGATTCTGTTAAATAAATTCTTTGGTTTTCTTACGAATACAAAGTAAAGTTTTTTCAGTCTTTTCTGAAGCATTTGAACAATTCGTACGGTGTATCTGCTGGTGGAAACGAGAAGCTTACTATGAAAACTGTGGCAGAAGGATTATTTCCTCAAACCGATCAAAGGTTCCCTTTTCGGGAGTTTTCCATGACCCCTCCTGATGGCCGGTATTTGCTATTAACTTATTCAATTTGGGATATCATGTTTCGCGAAAAGTAATCTCGAGATTCAGTGATCACTGTTGCTTTCTAACACAACGAACTGGCAAGTTTTTCACAGAAGAAGCTCACCATCGAACGGTCAAGCCAGCTTTTATTTGCTGACGGATTCTAAATTCGTCTCAGCAATCGCGGGAGAAACGGGACCCAGCATACCCCCGTTAAATAGGCTATTTTTGGCCACTTCGCTGGGGGTCGTATATATTTAGAGGGTGTGGCGAGGCTAGGTTCTCAGCTCTTATAAGGCGGACTCCTTCGATCGCTTTGGAACTTCCGTTTGATTCTCGTATAAGATTGGGTTTTGTCAGAGAGATTTACCATAGAACATCGTAAATTGACTTCAGTGAAGACTCCCAGCTCGATTTTGAAGGGTTTGCTTTGAACTTGAGAGGAGCTCGAAGCCACGATGCAAGCAATCAAATGTGTGGTTGTTGGAGATGGGTATGCAATCCTGTTGATATGACCTTAAAGATATATAAATCGCGAATTCCTTTTCGCTGAACATTCTTCACTCGTTCAGTTGTTTTAAAAACATAATATACCTTTAGCTGTTCACTTTTACCGTTTGTACGCCCCTAATCGTATTATTTCGGTGTTCAATGCCATCGCAATTTTCACGCTACCGGCGTGTGAAGATGATCAGCGTTCTTTTAGTTCCAGCGTTCTGAGAACTTATCTTCGCTTACTTTAAATCCTCGCGATGGATTCTTTTTAAAAAATTCAATCTAAAGTGTGAGGTAAGTTTCTAACTGTTTGCTCGTTTTCTTTTAGTGCCGTGGGTAAAACATGTTTGTTGATCAGCTATACCACAAACGCTTTTCCGGGGGAGTATATTCCTACGGTGTAAGTACTATATTTCTTTCTCATCTAGTGTTCTCACAGCGACTTTCTTCGCTGCCGATTTTATTTCAACCGTTGAATCTCTTACTGCTGTTGTTTTGTGCTGAGCGATAGAATCGATAATTCCTTTGGTAAAAAAAACAACAGTTAAAGTCAGGCTAATATGAATTTCTGTCCGTTTCTTTAGATTTGATAACTATTCTGCAAATGTTATGGTTGATGGCAAGCCTATAAATCTTGGTTTATGGGATACTGCTGGTAAGTTCAGTCTTCATTTGATCTGTGGTTCGTTTTTTAAAGCAAAAGAACACAAGATCTCTAATATGCTATCAAACAGATACATCAAGGTGACATTATTTAACAAACTTATCATAAATGGTTATTAATGGAAATTCAGATGCACGTTTACCACGAAGGTTTTCAGGGTATCATTTCTTCATTTATTCGCGAGACAAATCATCAACATGGAATGGCAATTAATAATGTTGGCTTATTTTTTATTTAGATTACTATAGTGATAGTCCGAGACTCGATCGTATTTATAGTTAAAAGTTGCATAGTCTATTACGATGAAAGTATCAAAAAATATGGTTCACTTTGGTCAACTAACAAAATGTATAAACATTCAATTAATCAGAAATAAAAATAAGATAAACAAAGTTTACATAAAACGGTTATTATCGCTATGAAGAGTACAAAATTGTTTTATTTCCTTTGCTACATCGAATGGCATTTCATTTTATTCAGGCTTGAAAGTCAAATAACAGGCTATGATGAAACTGATTTTTTCATGATTTTGACAACAATCCTCTTAACAACAGAGTTTGGGGAAAATTTACTCCCTTATTTAAGTATGATGAATATACATAATTGTTTAAAGAGCTTCTTTGCTGAAATCAAAGATTAAACCATGCTAACTGCATCCCAAAATGTACATCTAGACATTACATTTTCCTGCTTCCTGTAGAGAACAAATTCCTTCCTCTGATGTCATTTATTTGCTTAGGAAGCAAACTTGGTAATATTTGTTGTAGAGAAGACACAAGTTGTTATTTTTTCCTGTTTTTCTCTTTCGTTTTTTCACTGAGGAAGAGTAAACATCTTAATAATAAGCAGATATTTGTCATTCTCATGGATAATAATGATCCATTACTTTCAATTTCTTATATTGTAAGATTTTTTCTGAAACAATATGTTTTGCTGTAACATATTGAATGGGTGCAGCTGAAGAAATTAAAAAAAAAATCAGTTCAATGGAATGGTTGATCATTGTGAAGTTAATTGCATTTGTCAACAGAGCAAGTGTGGCATTGCTGCCGAAGGAGGTTCCTGTTAGTTTTTATGGTTTTGCACTTAGCTTGAAGGGTGAACATTATGACAGGCTGATTCACTTGTAATGTGGGACAATTTAATGGCATATTTCCATGTTTATATCTTTTCTCTACATCTCTCTCCAGTACTTTCCAGAGGAAATAGAATATGGAAACTTTTGTAATCTACAACTTCCCCACTTTCTCACCCTTTGTTATGGATTTGTAAACTAAAAGGGAAATATTGAAAAGAAAGAAATATTCACCTTAAGAAATAAATTTTGTGATTGTGTCAACCATATCTAGTCCAGCGATCTTCTACACTTTTTCTGATTCTCATCTTCATCCGGGAATCAGGAATATATCTCATAACATAGTGGCTAATTCTTTATGGCCAAGTTGGTTTTATCTGCCAGTGGTTATTCTAGTTTCTTTCGTATGAAGCAAGTAACAGTATGTTCTTACAAGTCAGTATTTATATCTCTCCATCACAGCCAACCTCTCGGTATTCTGGGGATAAGTTTTAGTTGGTTATGATGTTTCCTGAAATTTCAGTCATACATATTTGCACATTTTGTGTCTTACAGGACAAGAGGACTATGATCGCCTTAGACCTCTCTCTTATCCACAAACTGTGAGTATTAGTTTTCTTTGTCTTATATTATTTTAGAATAGTAACTCAGTAATGTACCCTAGCTTTCACCCAAAGTACAACAACAAGATTTTATATGACCTCTCCATATAAAGTTGGATTTTCTTCTCTTTGTTTGTGGGAAGAATCATTGTATTAATATACAAGATATTTTTTGGCCAATGTTAGCTTCAAATTGAAGGAGCCTATGGAAATAACCCTATGAAATAGACAATTATGCTGTGGTAAGAGTGTAAATGATTGTTAAATTATTAAAGTACTGAATTTTCTTCTGTTGCAGGATGTCTTTCTAATATGCTTCTCATTAATAAGTCCAGCTTCCTTTGAAAATGTTCGAGCAAAGGTAAGTTTGGATTCTAAATTCCTGATACAATATTCAAGTATGTTTCTTCATCAGCTTTCCTTGGCCATTTTGTCATTTTTATCATCCATCTTCAGTGTGCATGTTGAGTTTTTGTCCCTTGTTTACTTTATTTATTTTCATCTCTTTCGTTGGAGTATGTAACATAACTTGGTGTGCCCAGCCTTATTTAGTTCATGGCATATCTTATTGATGACATTTGATATTTAGTCAAGCTAATCAGGCAATCATTGTTTGTTTGTATCAATTATCGATATCAGTAATTGATTGTTGTTAATCACTCACCAAACTGTCACAAGGTATAAAGGGGGTTGCTGTGTTGGTGGGGAAGTATAACAGGGTAATTTAGTATTATCAGCTGAGTTGATAATGTAAATTGGCCATTATGAAGAGTTTCAAAAATGATATTTCAAGCATTAATCTTTTGTCATTTGCTCTGTTAAAGGGCTAATGCTCAAATTGTCAGCTTTGAAACTCTTTATGGTGGCCAATTTATGTTATCAACTCAGTTGATAATTCCAAATTACCCAGTCACCAGGTATTTTTAAATTCATCAACAATCTGCATACTGTCTTTTGACAGTCTTATTGTTTTTTCACTTCTTAAACTACTTTTTACTGTACTGTGATAACTGACTTCTACAGATCATAGTTTTCCCTCAAGAGGTTATGAATTACAATTTATAACCCAGGGTATGTGATATGATAAGAACTTTTCCTTTAAGGAATGTACAACATCACAAAGTTGTTATTACAGATTGGATATGTGATTATGTAGTATAATTAACTTCATGTACAAGGGTTGTGTAGATAAGAACTGTTGTTAGTGACAATGACAGACAAGGTTGATTGACTAATACTAAGGATGATGTAACTTTTGATTTGTAGATTTGCAATTATAACTGTTTTAGTTAATTAATTGTATTAGCCATAGTATATTACCTTAATTTGATTGTTTATCATTCCAGTGGTATCCAGAGGTAAGCCACCATTGTCCCAACACCCCAATCATCTTAGTTGGTACAAAGCTTGACTTACGGGATGACAAGGAAACACTCGAGAAACTGAAAGAGAAGAAGCTGTTACCTGTATTGTATACCGATGGCTTAAAAATGACAAAAGAAATTAGTGCACAAAAATACCTCGAATGCTCAGCTCTTACACAGAAAGGACTGAAAACAGTTTTTGATGAGGCAATCAGGGCAGTCCTGTGCCCAACAATTAAGAAAACAAAGAAGAAAGGTGGATGTCTACTGCTATAAATTAAAGACCGTAGCTTTGGGAAAACAACCAGACAACATGTTATGTGTGGATATTTCCTTGGTTTGGTCTGTTGCTACACATTTCAAGTAATTTGTCCTGAAAAAGGAATTATTAATCTTTTCCTATTAGTTTATATTGAAATGAGAAAACAAGTTGCTATCATGTTTTTTGATGTTCACTGAGTGGCAGTGTCAACTGGGTACATGAAGTTTATTTCTTTTAGTTTTTTGAAGGGTACCTAGATATATGTAGCTTTTGATAGGTCTTCATGGAAGTGATAGCATTCTTGGGCAAGGCTCAAGAAAGCAGAAACATAATTTTCTAATTGCTCTACATAGTGAATTTGTGATGTGAATGTAACAATCAACTTTCAAATATTTTTATGGTTTGAAGATAATTCTGTTCATTTTGTTTTCCACATGTAGTGTTAGAATGAGTGCTCAGATGTATGTTCAGTGATAATACAGCTGTTATTCTCTGTTGTTTTTCAAGTTTTATGTTCCTCCTGCACCAACCTTTTTGTCCCTTCATTTGGAATTTTTCTTTTATCACTAGAAAATAGCACGCATGACTGTATGGCTGGCACTGCTTTTACATGATTTTTCCTTAGGAGAATATATGAGATTTACATGCAAGTTTCTTCAGACTGATTGTTATCTTAAGTCTGCCAGCTGTGTAGGCTAGGGCTTGTGTTTTGTAGTTATTAGTTGACAGGGTTCTTGTTTGATAATTGATTTTGTCTAATGAGGATTTATTGAAGTGCTTTTCGTAGTGTCGATGGGAAGGTGGGTGATCATTCAGTTTACTTTGTGCATGGAGAGCAAGAGAATGAGGCTGGATCCCATACACACTGGCAAGCAGCGCTTGCTCTAACTTGTTTACAAACCCAATTCATGCCATTGTTAAATGGAAAGCTGTCATTACTTAAAAGCACAGCTCCTTGTTAGTTTAGTCTTTTACATCTCCTCTAATGATGATTTTTGCATTGGGTTTTGTGAGTAAACTGTGAAAAAAATGAAACAAATTTAATCTTTCAAATTATGATTTTGAAAGTACTACAGTCGTGCTTGGGTGTATCACTCCAGAGTCAGTATATTTTGATTGTTTTGTTATTGCTTTAGTTGATTTAGGTTGCCAGCTGGATAGCTTGGGTGTTGTTCATTTGCGTAAAACTGTCGCTTTAGACACTTGTTAACCATCCTACATATATATCGGATTGAATAAAGACCATGTACGGACTTTGATTCATTTTCAGGGATCATAACAAGCTAAATCCGAATTTCCATTTTGCTAGTTGTAAATAAGATATGCCTTTAAATGGCATTAAGACAAGAACTGCTTTTTTGGAATGGTCATTTGAGGAGTTGGTCTATTTTGAAGTAGGATGTCTTGATGTATTAAGTTTAGAAGTGTGGATAATCTTCTCTGCAACCTTATAATTTTTTATGTACATCTAGCTCATTGTTTAGGCAGTAACATCTTGTGAAATTCGTGTTATATTTCTACCTTGCATTCAAGATTTTGGCCTTAATTATGTAATAAAAGATCAAGAAATAATGTCTCTTGTTTAGATGAAATCTGGAAGGTGTATGTACAAGTTTCCAGGTTATAGGGCCTCAACTCTCCACACACAAGCTTGAGGCATACAATTACCTTGGGCTGGGGTTTTTAACTCTTTCCTTGTTGCCATTCTACTTATGCTGGCAGGCTCAAATGGTTATGTTTTGCTGTAGAAAAGGACCCAACTGAAAGTAGACTTACTCTGGTTAAAGAAAAAAAATGAGACCCTGTTCGGTATTTATTTTCAGAGAGGAAGTTAGTGGTGAGGGGGCTTTTATTCTAAACTGACATCTTCAGTGCTTCGTTTTTTCTTAAGGGACAAGTGAACCTTGGAAAATGACTGATTATCGTACAAAATACTGCGCTGTAATATTTATCGGTACTATTTATCAACGTATTCAGCGTTACATTTTCTCCGCTTTGTGTCTCTTGATTAATGTTCTATTTTTAGTTTCTCCCCTCTAGAGAGTGCACTTTGGGTAAAATGAGTTCCTTTTGCTTTTCATCTTGGCAATTGCAAGCTAATGATCAACGCCTTCGTTGACCAGACGGAATTAAGTTTTCGTTAATGATGCGATGCTTTATATCATTTTGACTCCTGCAATACAAAATCGCCCTCAAATATCATCGGCACATTTAGAAGAGTAAATTCTGGTCTATTTCGAGGCTCGGCCTATTTTTGTTCACTTTCTGGTTCTATAATGTTATTAATATTTTCTTCCAACTCAGATGGTTTTCTTTAATACTGTGTAAGTGAGGAAGATTGGCTAAAAGGAAAGAAAACCAGAATGAACTATCTGGCTCTCTGGTGTGCCTTAGGTTGAGATGCATTTACAATCATGTAAATAATTTTTCAAAGAGTAAAATATTCGCCAGCTGCAGTATGTGTTAGTCTTCAAGCCAGAAAGAAATAATAATTTTAAATAATAAACGTGTCGCATGTAAAGGCAATCCTAAACACGGTAGTTATTTCTAAATTCAAAACAATCGACATGTATTCATTTTCTATTTGCTCTTTGATTGTCGTAAATGCAACTGAAAAGGTGTCCTGTGTATAACCGACAAAAAATATTTAATATAGTATAGTATCATAATATGGTAGGATATAATTACCCAAGCGATGTGTTTATTTGAGTTGAAGACTCTCTAGGGTATACGAATTAAATCGCTGACCCTTCCTACAAAACTACAGTAATGATCGTTTTCAGATTCGAAGTTTTCAACTTAGGAAGGAAGGCCTTTGTTTCGGAAGTAATATTTGTTAATGGCAAAATAAATTAGATGTGGATTACGAACAGAGCTTTGTTCCTACGAAGTCGAAAGTGTCATAATCACACCATATATAGAGTTTGTTTGCAATATATGACGTCAAACGGAAGCCAATACGAAACAATAGAGGGATCGTCGGAAGCGCCTATCAATGACGTATTTACACTCAATTTAGAGCGTCTAGAGGGGCTTTTCCTTGCTGCTATCTAATTGGTTATAATATTAGCTTATTGTCTTGTCATTAAATGAAATGATTCTCATTGGTTAACGATGACGTTGTTGTCTATCTTAGAAACCAATCAGTGATGAGATTTGCGAAGACGATGCAAATATACTTTGACTCCTCTCTATGTCTTTCGCTTTACCATCCTACTAAACTCGAAGTAGAAAACCTTAGTGAGACATTTTATATATTTTTTAATAAAATCTTAGTCAACGAAAGGCCAATGGAGCTTGAAATACAAGTCGCTGTTAACTTCCTCATCGGGTACCTCGTCAATAAACTGCCACGTCGAAGAGTACAGCTTTTTAACGAGGAGGTTGTGAAGAAACTGACGAAGAAATTTGAAGGCCATTGGTACCCCGAAAAACCATGTAAAGGAAGCGGATACCGTTGCCTCCTTATAACTGACAGCCTAGATCCTGTGTTGAGTTCTGCTGCAGAAGCAAGCGGACTTAGCGCCAAGGATGTGAAAGCCAATTTGCCGGAAAAGCTCTGTCTGTGGATCGACCCACAAGAAGTATCCTTCAGAATCGGTAAGTGCTGTTTGAGCTCAAGGCTAAAGGGATTTTATTTCGCAGCGACTGTTCTTAGATTTTAAATGGTATTTTCTGACAAGTTTCGTTACCCTTTGTTTTTTACTCTTTGAAGGGATTACTCTTTGGTTGATATTGCGAAAGGGATATTTTAGAACGCGTTCGAATACTCGATTGAATAGAGTCACGTAGGGTAACTGCATGCGTAAGCAAATATGAATCCACACGTCTCGAGTTTGCTAAGGACTTGCTTCGGTAAGCATTTTCTTTAGAAGGTCAGGTTCTTTTAAAAAGAGATCCTGTTAGATAATCCCATTTCGTTGTGATCAGACTGTAACCTCGAAATCAATTTTCCTGGCAAATTATCGCCCACGCGTGTACCTTCTACCAAATGTCTTCTTGGTTGTGTATGCATGACTAATGTTTCTTTTCATTTGTTCTTCGTGTAGGCGAACAAGGGTCCGTGAAGACGATCTATAAAGCTGAAAAGAAACCTGAAGCAATCTGTGACGAAACCACTCGCTGGGTGAACCTTTTAAATGGCCACAACAGCGGTAACTCAAACAGCCCAGTTCCATTCCGTAGTCAAAGCCCTCCAAGAATCATGGCGGACCGCTCTTCTCCTGTGTTGTCATCCGCTTCCAGTTCTTCACCATCACCTCCCTTGTACAACTCACAATACATGCCTTACAATAGCTGGAGCGCAGCAGAGGAGTCTTCTTTGTTTAAATTCAGGGCGAAAAGAGCTTCTCCGACATCTCTGTCGCCAAACGCGAAAGAGTTCAACTATCGGACCCCGTGGGACAACTTCAACTATGGAGCACAACAAAACAGTGGGCTGGATACCACTCGTGGCGCGTTCATTTCTTCTTCTTTTTTAGACTGGTTTAATTACAACGAGATTGGAAATTTCAACACTGCTGCCCAGCTACCAATATTAGCCTGAAAAATGTTAAGTGTTGGGTGTGCGGAGTTATACATTGCAATTTGAAAAGGTGTTAAAATAATATTTGTATAGATAACCATAGGAAAAAGATGATGTGAAATTCTTCACAGAAAATTGTAAATTTTTACAAAATAAGTTACAGTATTTCTCCAACGCATGTACATTTGTACAAAAACGTTTTGTTTATAAATATAAAATGTATAGTGTTTCTTAAAAGAGATGTACGAGGTATTTTGTTCTTGTTTCAAAGAAACTCCGAAAAAATAGAGCCACAATGGTGTTGAATTTATTATTGGATTGTATTTAAAAATTTTGAAGAAAGAGGAATAAAGTTTGCATACAATTTATCTATCTGTTTTAATTTTTTTGTCTTGACATCACAACAATTGAGAAAGTGATATGTATTGGACACTAATTTAACAAAGAAATGCTAGAGGATTTTACTCCAAAATGGTTTTTTTCAAGCGCCTGCATCATTCGGTTTGTTTGAGGCAATTTTATTTTATTTCTTCAGGGTTTGAGTAAGTTAAGGTGTTTTAAGTTTGGTTGCTTTCATTTATGAACAAGTCAAAACATGTACAAGCTGGGTAAATATCTGGAAGCATTTCATGTTAATGTTCAGCTGTTAGTGTCAAGGATATATTTCTACATTTATTCAAATGGGGTTAACATTGTCTACATTTTATACAATGGGGTTATCATTGGTGCACAGCTGTCCTTTTGAGAAGTTAAGGGAACAGCAGAGAAGCTGTGGTTTGCTGAATGTGGTACCTCATTACTTGTCACCTTCAATACAGAAATTGTTGGTTAAATGTCTTTCAAATTGACTGTAACACATTTACTGGTTGGTGGGGAATATTGTCTAGACAACCTGTTTAAACAACACTGACAGTTAATCTTATGGATAGAGAATGATTTGACATTGTGATCGATGATGATAATTGTGTCTTCTTCATGAGTTAAATACATATTAGCTGTTGCATAATGCACATACTTGCAAGGGTTGAAAAGTATTAAACAAAAGAATATGAAAGATCCAAGAATTTTTAAAGCTATTTTAACACACTCTTGTGTCTGTTTTTGTTCTTGAGCTAAATCATTTTCAAAGGTGCTCAGACATTTCTCTATACCTGGGAAAAATACTACATCATGGATGGTCTCCATGTTAGAATTTATTTAAAAGATAGCACTTTCTTTATAACAACTTGTGAATCAAATGTGACAGCTGACTCTTGTTGTGTTAGAATTCCAGGTCTGCTGTATCTAGGGTGTGTTCAGTAGGTAAGATGGCCAAAGAACTGAAATTAAGAGAGAAAGTTTTCAATGTAATTTCTGAATTAAAAAGCAAACATTCATCAAAGTGCAAAAATGTTTATGGATTAGTCTTTGAATCAATTTTCATACATACAGACAACCTTAAAGCATACTCCATCGAAATCAAAGCTACAAGTTTGTAGATTATTTATTGGTAGAGTGTGTTAATAGCAAACCTTAGCTGGAAGAGTCATTGTATTCCTTTATTTCATTCTTCACCTAACTTCATTTTACCTTATTGCATTAAGACTACTGAGCTTTAGGAAGCTTCCCTCTTTCTGGGTCATAAAGTGGTGCCAGGCAAGGTGTTACCTGTCTGACAGATAAGGCTGGGAGCTCAGGCATCTTTCAGATGACTTTCAAGTGTTTGTACCACTCAGGTGCTCTGTGATCTTCTCAAATAGCATTGGGCCTCATTGTCTATCCATAACAATGACACTTTCACCCCTTAGAGTCTCTAGCATCCAATTTCTCCCTACACATTCAGGTCACAAGAAAGGCCAAGGAAATGATCCCAACCAAAAAAGCTTCTGGTTTTTAAATAAATTCTCCCTGTTAGCAGTTCAGAAAATGAATAGAGAGAACTATAGAGAAAGTGCACACTAATATCACGGGTTTAATATCCCTTTCCCTCCCCACTCCCACCTACAACTTTCTTTCGCCTTGCTACCACAATATCTTGTACAGCGGCTGATTTCTAATCCCACGCGCATTACTTATTCCTGATTTAAGATGGAAGGCGGCAAATAGTGATAACTGAGGAGCATTAGGGGGAGAGGAACATTTGAATTAAAATATAGATCTCCTGTATAACTAAGATCGGTTTTCAGCTGTACCTTTCTTTAGGTCATTCTCAATTTAACGTAAACAACTAGGTGGTATTTATTCCAAGACAGTAAAAAATAACTTACTAATGAAGGACGTCCGGATATTGTTGGTTGGTGACCGTAAGTAAATGTAGCTTCTTGTTGTTTTGGACTTACGTAACAATAAGCAGAAGTAAGTCATACGTAAATATATATGTATTTATGTTCTTTGAAATGCGTTATATTACAGCTCAAGTTGGAAAAACGTCGCTTATTCTGTCGCTTGTAAGCGAGGAATTTCCTGAAGAGGTAAGCTAAACAAGGCGCGGTATATCCAAAAAGGGCACGACGAAGCTGATCTTCTGTCATTATATATATATCTGTTAAAGATCTACATTCGATCCCTGTTTATTTCATGTCTCTCTTGGAATGAACATGCAGAGACCAATTCATAACACAGGGAATGCTTTAGTTGCTTCCTGTACACCTGTGATTGCACAACTTGTTAGGTGCCGAGGAAATGAACATTGACAATCTGCCGCAGTTATTATTTCCTCTACGTCTGTGACAATTCGTCTCGTAGCACAGAAGATAAGTTATTCCCAGGTCTGTTACCGTGAGAGGAAAGGGAGCACTTGATTTCTCTTTACCTTAAGGAAAAACATATTGTATGAAATTTTTATTTACATACATGTATAATGTTTCAGGTTATAGGGTAACTGGCGTGGTGAGGGAGAAACAAAAAGATTGGGAAAATTTGTTATTGAGCTTCTTTTATTGATATTTGAGCAAAACTTTCGTATGATAGTTTCAATGGCTATCACCATGAGTCTGTTTACTTGCTTTCCTTAGTACTCTTCCTTCCAGCTAGTCTTAGGAACAGCAAAAAATGTTTACATTCAACCTACTTTGCTGCTAATGAGTTATCTCATTTATGATTTTTGAAGGTCCCTGCGAGAGCAGAAGAAATCACCATACCAGCTGATGTGACTCCTGAAAAGGTCCCAACACATATTGTGGACTTTTCTGGTCAGTAGAATTGTGATCATACATCTGAGAAGGGAGGGGATATCTGTGAAGTGATGTGGGAACATAAGGAAATGCAAGGGTGTGTGCGTGATGGGGGGGAGGGGGGGGGTTGGGTGGGGCAGGAGGGTGGGAAAGGTAGGGTAAAACAGTATGGTAAATGAAGGACATCCTGACCCCTTCTCCCTTCACTAGTTTGTTATCCTTGCCACACCTCTCTACTCAATTTTTTTACCAGCCCCATGCTGTCCTCAATCTTACCAATCCAATATTAAGGCAAAAAGCTAGTCAGGGAGATTTCAGATATGTCCTCCTGGAAAAAGATGTAATTCCTTTTATTTTGTCTTTTGAAGATGGGTACCCTTTTTTTTTTACCAGACCTTGATCAGTCAGAAGATATGCTGATTGATGAGATTGTGAAGGTAATATTCAAAACATGGATAATCGTGCACTATTATACATGAAACTTACATTTTAAAATCTTCCTTTGTAGCATTCCTATAGAGTTCTAAGGGCAAATGTTTTGCTATTCAGGGAATGATCATTCATAGCCAAAATGCAATCCTGTATTTTTTGGTTTTGATGGCAACCTACCCTTTTTAGCCCTTTCACTTTCACTCCCCTAAATTGATGTTTTTTTACTTCTCCTCATCTTTCTGCCTGAAAATGTATTGATAGTGAAAGGAGAAATTCATTTTTGGTCATTACTCTCTAGGTAAAGGGTTAATGATCAAAGTTTTGTCTCAGTTATATGTGACTCCAAACCTATTGTTGGATGTGATAATCATTTAGAAATTCAGATATTTATTTCATTTTTTACGAGAAAAATATGATAATTAGTCACAGTCCAATATGATTTGACAGGCCAATGTTGTGTGTGTGGTATATGATGTCACATCAGAAGGATCACTTGAAAGAGTAAGTGTAATCTTATGTCAGTCTGCATTGAAAAAAAAAATAAACATTTCCTAAGCATTAGATTATCTAAGTTACTTTAGATCAAGATTATACTTTTGTCCATATGCCCTAAACTTCCTCAAACACTTGACAATACATACTTTTGATAGTTTTCCAGATATTCATAGGATGTAATGGAAAGTTCGGTTTGTCAGCAGTGAAATGATCGACATGAAAATAATTATTGAATAGAAAGCAACAAAGTTTTGTTTAGTTTCATCATTCATGAATATGAATCTGATCGTACCATTAAATTATGTAAATTTATTTTGAACTGGGGTTGAAAATCAAGGTAAACAATTATCCTGGCAGGTGAGCTGCAATCTAAATAATTGCAGAAAAGAAACCTGAACAACTCTGGGCTTTGACAGGATTCAAACCCAGGCCTCCCGGTATTAGTTGGGTGCTACCTACAATTAAGGTATGAAGCCATATGCTGGGACTGGGGCACATTATAAACTAAGGGTTCTTCTTTTGCATGGAGGAATCTGAATCATTGACAGTGAATATCAGTATACATATTGTCTATACTGTTCTTTACATTTCCTAAGGTACTGATAAGGAGAATTTGTTTAACAATCAAGAGCTCCTTTGGTTGGTGATCACTTCCTCCACTCTTGTGACAGTAAAATTTAATGCAGGGATGATGTGGCAAGGAGAAATTAGATGCAAGTCATTCTAAGGGATCCATGAATTAAGGGAAAGCCTATTTAATAGAAAAATCCATTATGGATGTAATATATTTATTTACAATAAGCCATTTGCTCCGCTGTCAACTCACACTAAACCACTTGATATGAATGTGTGCGGGTTTGTTTGAACAGATTACATCTTATTGGTTGCCGCTGATAAGACAAACTGGAGAGGAAGATAGTTCAAAGCCTGTTATTATTGTTGGAAACAAGGTAGTTTAATTGGCATGTTTTTAAGTTATTGCTTTTATGATCAAGACT